ATATTTCAAAAAAAAAAAAAAACGACGATATTATATAAATTACCAGTTTCGCCAATGACCATCATGTCACGACATACTCTTTGAAATTCGGCAGAAGGTAAACTTACTATTGCATGATATTCTGTTTCTGGAATACTTAAATGTTCTTGATCAATGTCCATTAATTTCAATTCATATTCACTAAGTTTATCATTTGCTTATAAATAAATAAACAATTAATTAATTTATTAATCAAGAATAATTTATTTTCTAAAAGTTTGCAAATATATTTTTTTGCTTACTTGGGGCTGAAAATGACATGGATAAAGTTTCAGGAGAATTGTCATCGGCTTTTAATGTGATAGAATCATCATTTCCAGCACACCTCAATAACTTGTTAAGAGAAGTTAAATTTACACCCAAAGAAAAACCTCTATCACATCGATATGTAGCAAATATTTCAGAACTTAACAAAAGTGATATCAGTGCTACGTGTGAGTTATCCATGGCTTGAAGTGCAATACCCGTCTCACTACAATCAAAGTTTGCATCTGTAACAAGTTCTTTGATAGCTTCTAATAATTTTTTAAGCATTAAACCTTGACTTAAAAGTGCTTCAAACATTTTATTGTTGTGTAATTATTATTATTTATTAAAGCGAAAGATTATTTATTAAACTGAAAGATATTATTGTTAAGTGAAAAAAGATATTATTATTATTAAAGTGAAAAAGATATTATTGTTATTTTAAATAAAAATACTTTCTGTCTTGTTATTTATTTAATAAATTTAATAAATTTGGAAGCAACGCGATAAAAAAAAATAAATTTATTTTGTGCAACTTTCAAAAGCATGTTTAAATTTCTTTATTTAAAAAAAAATCGCGATTTTAAAACCTAATTCAAAAAAAAAATGCAAATTTTTTTCTTTAAATATTTTTATTTAAATTTTTTTTATACATAAATAAGGAATAATAATTATCATGTCTGATCAACAATGATGGATGATGAATTTTGACAAATAAATTTTTATGTTTATGTTGTTAACTGTAGAGTCTGAAGTTTTTTAGATGGAAGATGTCTTTGCAAATATTTGACTTCAGCTTCCAAGTCCTTAAAAAATTGTATAACAATAATGATTATTATTAAATAATGATAACTCGGTCATGATGATATCGTCAATTAATTGGATACTATTACTAACCTTGCAATACTCGTCCAATGGTAAATCATTCTTATCATAACCTATTTAATTAAAATAAAAAAAAATGTTTATAAATTTAAATATCTTTTTATTTATAATTAATAATCATAAATGTTATAAATATATACCGAATGGATTCTCAATTTCAGCTCCTACATAACAAATAATTAGATCAATTCATCAGTCAATCAATAAGAAAATAAAATTTTCAAATATAAAGAATTTTTTTATAATATTTACCAATTGTTTCAACACCGAAAAGTATAAAGGCGATAACCATAACAACTGGAATTACTAACCATCCGAGAGTACTGACCATTGTAAATGGAAGAACCCACACATATATAGTTACAGCCTGTTTACTATACATATGATATAATATAATTTTCTTTTAAGAAAGTGTTATAAAGAAAATTACAAAACCGTTTCAAGACAAAGAAATTGTTACTTACAGATGAACGTTGTATGCAAAAGGAATTGGTGTATTGCTAATTCTTTCCAAACTTCCTAAAATATCAACCAAGGAATTTAAGCTTCCAGAAACAGTTCCAAAGCGATTACCATCTATTGTTCCTTCTTGTATTTTGGCATCAATATATAAATTTATATGGAAAATGATTTCAAGTGGAAGACTCATGCTTGCATCGACATCTTCACCCCAATCATCACCAAACCACAAAGTGCTCTCGCTGGCAGAAATTGAATTACGAAGACTAGCATAGACAGTTGGTGGAATTCTGGTTAGAAGCGAACGATGTGAACGATTAAGAGTTGAGACAGAGCTGTTTGCATTTTCTGGTCTGTTTGGATTTTCGGGATCACCTTCTGAAACATCAGTATTTTCTTGTCCAGCGTTTCCATCAAAAAATGTAAATTGGAATCCTTCGGGGAGAAGATCTTGTAAATCAAACCATTCTGTGCCAAATTCCAATCGAAGGTGATGCTTAGTAGCAACTGCAAACGCCAATAATAATTTTATGTTTTTTACTTTTTCTTTATGATCTTGACCATTCCCGTTTCTTTCTACTACACCAACCCAAAATATACGGCTAGCATTTCTACTATTTGTTTTGGACCAAAAATAATATT